AAGACGGTAGCAGCTAATGCCATTCTTACACCACATAACACCTCTCGATCGCTCCGTCCCCATAGCGCATTCACATTCTTTTATTGAAAGAAAATTGTCTGTCATCTTTCGTTTACAAACACCAATCCTATTCTACCACACTCAGTGATCAATTCTATTCAGTAAGATTGTGATTCGTTGTCAGTTTTGACTGTACGTGTGTATCTCAAACTTGATTCCTATAATCTCTATGGAAAACTAGCTGTCTACCATTTCCACGGGGTCGATTGCCAATCTGCTCTCACTTTCTCACTTAGGGAACTATGAAACTACAATCTTTTGACCATTTGATTCATTTGTTCATGAGCATTTGCTCCTTCCTGAACTGTCATTTTGAGTGAGCCTAAAAACCTTGTGGTCGACTGGTATGCCACTTAATTAAATGATTAATCACAACAGGTCGATCAACAATGCGCAGAACTCATGCGTTCCCCTTCGGGGAGCTAGCGTATCACTCATTCTGGAATCAATTTCCTTGCCAGCCAACTTATTTTTCTTCATCCCAATTTTGAGTTCTAGGCATGACTCATCCACCCTCTTCAATGACCTCACTTGTCGTCGGTCGTCGTGTCTGAGAAGGACATGTTGTGTGCTTGTTTTCGTATGCTCCTAGTAGTTTCACTCGCTCTCGTTTCCCTTAATAAGGGGCGTCCATTGATTCTTCCCTTTTTGATAGACTAGACTATTGATGGTGTGTTTCTGTGGGAGAACTGTATTCCCCCGTACGTGAACCAGATCGAGTTCTGCATCTGTTGCGATGATTAACACCTTCAGATCGATGTTTTAAAAGTTTAGCTTCACATCAGAGCATGTCGATTCCCCCATTTCTTCGCTTTCTTTCAATGACACTCCTTTACCATTCATAATTGTAATGGTTATTAGTAAACTATGCGCGTTCCATGTTGTAGGAGTACGCCGGCACAGGCGCCTGTTCCGCTGCTCGCACAGCACTCGTCGTCGTCACTGTGAGATCGTGCTGGCTTTCGATCCCTTAAGAAACGACGTCCTATGTGGACATTAGTCCTACTTTACGTCTCCGCAGCCTTCACGGCTGTCGTCGGGGCTCCCGTGAACTTGCCTCAGACCATCAGTAAGTTTTTACTTTTCTTTTTCTTCCATCTTTGTGAGTAATGTTGTATGGCTCCGTTTTTCTTGCTTGTCATCAATCGGAGCTTTCAATTCACTCTGTGTGACCGTGATACTTATGTAAGGGCCTATCGTACGCTCAATTAACCGCTGGAGAGGTTTTATTCTGCTCTGTCTGGCCTCCTTTGTCATGGCCGTTTCTTCATGCCTCGTGCCAAACATACGAATATTCATGCGGAAAATTGCTTGATATCCGTCAGTGGTTCAATCGAAGCTTAAACCGACTGACTGTTTTGACATCGATTTGTTACAACTCGCTATGTCACTATCACTGTCTCGGTAAATAGTCGAAGGTTTCCTCTGCCGGTCTCTGCTCATTGATTTCCGCATTTTTCTTGATACTCGTTACTATTCCCCGATGGATCCCTACCCAGGCGGTATTCTTTCGTGTTCCTCCATTGGATCCCTCCATACCAAAATCACTATTTTTCGTGTTCGCCCATTGGATTATTTCCTACCAAAATTTCTAATTTTCGTGTTCCTCTCAATGGATCCCTCACGACCGAAGTGATTATTTTTCATGTTCCCCACTCCCTACCGTAACGATCGCTTCTCGTGTATCCCCCCCCCCCTTCCCCCAAATGAATTCCTCTCCACCAAAACTATCATTTTTCGGATTCCCCTATTGAATCATCCCCTCCAAAATGATAATTTTCGTGTTCCCCCAATGGATCCCTCCCGACCAAAGTGATTATTTTCATGTTCCTCACTCCCTACCAGAACAATCATTTTTCGTTTCCCGCTCGAATCATCCCCTTCCAAAATGATATTTTCGTGTTCACCCGATGGATCCCTCCCCATCAACTTTCAGTCGATCTATAAGGCTTCGCAGTACCCGTAAGGGAGTAGTCTACGACTTGCTTTAATCTTACCATTATTCCTTCTTCTTACTTTCCAGCTGTGGACCGTAAATGAATTAACAAACTCGTCGAAGTCTTCATAATAATGTCTTTATTCTTATTTCGGACAAGTCTTTTAAGTCATTTATTTGATGCGCTTTTTGTAATCATACAGATGTACAGCCTGAATCGATGTCAGGCGTAGTCGCTGACGCAGATCTGCATTAACCTGCCTACCCAAAAAAGGAGCCTTCATTAGTGTGATTTGCTTTGTCTTGCTTTTTTGTTCGAGTAGCGCCGCTCCCATTCGACCTCATAGGAATGGGGTTGCAAGCAAGTTCATAAGGTCATGTAATATAGATGGGAACCTACAGAGTTTCTTTTGATGAATTCCTTACCTATTCATTTGTTCGACGACCCCGTCAACACATCAAAGGAATGGTGTTCGATGGCCAGTGTTGTTCCGACGCCATTTGAGGCAAGCGAAATTCGACGGGGGGAACCGAACACGGGTAGCGCTAATCGTTGCTAATTCCTGCTCCTCAACAGGTTATCATACGCGAAAGGTCCTTCAAATACACTCGGCTATCAGTCTCAGGGAGACTTTCAAGGTCTCCAATGGCCACGACATCGACTTATCTACTCAATGATTGCAAAAACGTTTACACTTACGCGAAGAGAGACTTTTTTCTCTACTGTCAACCTTGCGAGATTGAACCTTGGCAGACCTGAAACTATTGATTCCGCCCTCATATGATGATGTTCTTTAGTCGAACTTGTTCCATTTCGATGGACGCACAAACGTTTGAATTCCGTCGTACTCAAAAAGAACGTTCGAGGGAGCCTTACGATGTTTGACGATTGCCCCTGAACCTGACAATCATGGTCGTTCCTCGCGCTAGCCACCTCATCAGCTTCGAATTTGTTGGCCGGCCATGACACGGCTCACTACATAGCGCAAGCGCAAGGTGTTGCCTAAGTGAGCGGAACTTTCACTGCGACAAATCTGTCATCATTAGAGACAGGGGTTGCGGATAATCCCGAAATGGCAGCGAAAACTGCCTAGGGACAGCTGCTGCCATCGTCGCATGACCTGTTCTTGCGGCAGAAGAACTTCCGTCAGTTGAAAAGCCGATGCTTATCGCCATTGCAGAAAAACCAATTTTACATGACGTTTCGCCTTTTTCCCTTTTAATTGCCGTCTAATTACAATAATTAAACTTAAAATTATCCAGCTTTTTGGTGTAGCAATTTTTTGTAAGCCAATCGTCCAAGGGACATTACTGTAGTCTAATATTCTGCGGTAAAGGTAATCAAGGGATACAGGAAGGACATAAAATCGATTTGGGTGACTGGAGGTCAGAAAACAATAAAATCGATTCGATTCATCTTCATTTCACGTATTCACTGAGGCGAATACGTGGAATGAAGAGCTTCCGAAGGAAGCTATACCCATTATGTTCTTTGGATTCGCGAGCTTCATTTTAAACCTCAACGATCATCGAGTGGATTAGAAGTGGCTAAGAACGTTCGCTTCACATCCAGTTAGCTTAAGAAGCCCTTCTGATGGGACGGGAAGCAGCGTTCAACAAACGAACGTCATCGTCTATGGCGGTGGTGATGTTTTGTGGCAAGCGATTCACCCCAGGCAGTAGTAGTTAAACAAATAGTGTCCGACTGTCTCAACAACTGGTTATTATGGGTGGCTGGTAAAGAGCGGAACATACTGAAACGGAGTGTCTATGAAAGGAAACACTCGGTTCCCCTTATGACCTTTTCATTTCAGCTTGTCCTGACAACAAAATTTATGTGTACGTGAACGATTCGGCTCACGACAGGACGCCGTACGTCTTTGTGGAGTTGTACGCGGATGGGCTTCAGGTATGCCAATGTTTAAGCAATCATCGACTGATTGGACTGATTGATAGTGACACCCTACACGTTTAGGATTGCATTCGAAAGTGTTTTGGCAATCAGTTTTGCTACTCACTGAAGTATGACGTAAATGCTGTCGAGCGATGTTCCCTGTACTATTTTGCCGCTTATAATTGTACTGGGAAGGATCTGGTCTTAGCCAGTTCTGTCCAGTACACTGGAGGAGCAGTTACAATTGACTGTCTGCGATGTCCAGCAAATGGCGATTTTGGTAGGTTTCTCTAGACGGACTTAGTGAATGTGTACTTCGCGGGCATTGATCTCATTAACTGCGAAATTATCATGTCAAAAGTCGAGTTTCTGCAAGGTCGATGGATGTCCGAGTGGGACATATGAAGGTAATTGTTGCTTGAGTATTTGACCGTAGAAGAGAGACGGACCGTAGCATTGCTTGACACCCATCACTGCACCCCATCCACCTTATGCGTTAGGGCATACATCCTAGGAATCATCACTGAATAGAAGCGATTACGGCTGTCAAAGAGCGATTTCTTAGAAGGCATCTACAAGCATGGGAATTGTTACTGCGGATGTAACTTGCCCTTCAAGTTTGAATAAGATCGGCAAACTCAGGCGATATCGGGGCATTGACATATTGCGCCACTGCGTGAAAAGAAAATCGAACCCAAAACACTTGCCAATATCGAAATTCATCGTTGATACGACAGACATACGCAAACTCTGTCCGTCCGCGTTTTCGAAAACGATCGGCATTGCCCGCTGTGATCGTCGTTCGCAACGAGCAGACATATTTCGCTCGCCTCGATTCATCAGCGAAACCACTGAAAAAACTTGAACAGTTCACAAAAGAAAGGGTCTTTGTCATGCACGTAATCTGTTCTAATTTGCCAATTACTCTCATCCGTCGTCGTTTCAGTCACAGCCCCACCATTCGACACCTTCACCGATCAGAGCATTGTTGCCAAGGATTCCGAAGGCAGAACGATCTTTTCGAAACCACTCAGTAAAGAAGTAACCGATAACATCGAATCGAAACTAAGCGGTAAGCAGTCTGTTCTCTAACCCCTCTACTTGTTCGATGCGCAGATCTATGAATCATTTTCGGTAAATTCCGAAAATGTCATGTATGGGAGACAATTGCGGGGTAGAGGTCATGAGGTGTTCAAGTGTCTCCCGAAAACGTTCTTACCAAAGTCGCGAGTCATGCTTCGACTCTCCAAAACTCGAAATATAGTAACGACAACGATCAAAGGAGCCAACTGCTCTTCTGTTCACTGGCGCTGATTAAATCGGGAGAGGGGGAGGGGGATGCTTCGTCACCATCAAGTCACTGGCCGTCGTCCGCATTCCACCACCGTCTCACGGGGCTAATATGGCGCAAATTTTTTATTACCACAGGAGTGGAGCGTTAGACTAAAACAACAATTACCCAAACACACGACCTGATTGCTGGGGCACGTGGATGGCACGGTTTACGACAACGGTATCGCCGCTATGGTTGGCGATGTTGACAGATAAGCCCGATTGTTAAGCTGGCAATTTGACAAGGGCAATCAGACCTGACTAATAAAAATCGGTGACAAAAACAGAATTTATTCCTTCCTTAGTGCTGTCAAATAGTTATTTTTAGGGCATCTTCCAGTCTGTCACAAAATTCCATTCCATTCCATCGAGAAAACGAGTTTCTTATGAGTGATGTCTCTTTAGGATATTTCCAATAGCCATTATGTTCCTTGCTCGAGCATGTTTGCTTACCGGCCAGGTTTTATTGGGAATGATTCCCTGAGGACCGTAAAAACAACCTCGGCTTTTCGGTTCAGTCCAAAATGGTCCAGTTCAACGCAGGCAGGCAACATCCACCACTACAATCTAATCAATTTGGGCGCAAACCTGTATCACAATGAGTCTTTATCAGACGCTTCCATTCGGCAGCTGCATGAAATTTATGCTTATGTTCTGTCAGTTGACAGGATCCGACATATATTAAAATATTATCATTTTATCATATTTTGGAATTATATTTTATCAGTCTTCGGAGCTCAAGCACAGTAGCGGACCTATGAGGAGGAAGCCAGAGCACACTTGTTTTTATCCCATGTCATATTCGGATAATTCTGGTCCTCAGGTATCAAATTCGACAAAGGGTTCTTTCAATGGTAACGAATTATAGGCAATGGGGCCACCCTACCAGCCTATTGTGGGGATACCCCGAGAAAATTGCCTGGGGTCGTAAGGTATGCTCCCCCGAACAGGGGAGGGTTCCCTTCCCGGTAAGGTATGCTCTTGGGGAGAGTAGAGAGAGAGATGCTCTCGGGGAGAGCAGAGAGAGACCTGAATCGGGGCACAGGAGAGCATACCTTACGGCCCCTGCTCAGATCGCCGTTTTAAGTAAACCACCAAATCCGACCACTTTAAGGCAAGCTCCTAGCTATCCTCGCTCTAATCGTTTGTAAATCACGGTAAAGAGCGGCGAGCAGGATTTATCCCGAGTAAGGCTTCCTGATGGTATTACGGGCCGGAAATGCCGCCGAACATGACGCAAGTCCACTCGAAGAAGGGCGCTTTCGCTTTTTTCACCCTCGCGCGCTACAACCGGTACTCTCTTCGACGTTGATGGCCCGTTGAAAGAAAGACAGGCTGCCGTTATAAAATATGCCTCTGTTTCAACATCGAGACGTGTCCTCCAAAGAAAAGTTGAAGTGTCTCCCGTGCAGTAATACATGCCATTTCATCGATGAACCCTATACGTCTTTTGTGTAGATGGCATGATACATAAGTTTCTGTTGGGCAGAGAATACGGTACTTCAATTCCTTTGGAAAACGATCAACAATTGCTTTTTTGGAATGCAAAGATGCAAAGATAAGAGAAAAGTACTGTTATCTCCAACATTCCCAGTGACGATACATACGATACCAGCAAAATATGGTTGAAGTAGTGTACTGTAATTTTGATCAAGTTTTGGTCATATCAGATGGGACCAGTGCCCGGAATGAACTTAGAAAGGCAAATGGATCGATATTCAAGCACATAATACCATGGGGGTTCGGCATTTTTGAGCTACTTCCTCAATCAATTCAGGTGCCAGGTAAGAGTAAAATACTGCCTTGGTTTCCCAAACGTTATACCTCCTCCTGTTGTCAGCAGGAATCCAATGAATGGGGTGGTATCAAGCATGCTCACTGCATCCCTAACCCCGGGAATACTTATGATGTATTTCTTTGTCTGGGAAAAGCCAATTGTTTGGAGATTAGTGTCACTCGCTCCAGCTGTTTTTTGTCATCGAACATCAGTTTCGAAGCAAAAAAATGGAGGGGAAAATGATGTTTTTCGCTGCTGAACAATGTGATGTGATCAATTTCGAATGCATCCATCCAATTTCATTGAATTCACATTTATGTTTCTCTTGGATGTTTTACCAGTCTTAGCCATTTCTCTGACAAAGTGCTTTTCGACTTTGTTCAATTGGTAATTGCCGCCGCACCTTTGGGCTGAATTATGGGTTGATTATCGCATGACCATTTCACTTTTTTTGCTCAGTGGTTCAAGTAAAATCACAACAAAGCTAAAAAAAGACCCTATTTCCACTTCACCACAGAAAAAGTAATTTTCCCGCCTTATTATTGGTTCAAACCCATCAGGTTTGTTCCTAAAAAAATTATGTGAGGTAGAGCGTTAGGCACAAACGCCGAGAGCTCGAATTTGCTGACTTTGTCGAAGAAAATGCCTTCAAAGAAACCTAAAGTCAACATTCTGTGTTTATTATGCTGACAAAGGATAAAGGACTGTTCATGGACATGAATGAAATACCCAAGGCTACTACTCTGCTGAGTGTCCACAGTAGAGCTCAGTGTTTCACCTTGGAACTGCCATGACTGATCCGGTAGAAGAACGTCCACAAGCCCCTCCAATCTAGTTCAACTCTAATGAAGGTCTGGGTTCCATATTTGTAAAGATCTTTGAACAGGAGTCTGGAAGGGATGGTAAGAGGCCTATGTGAGTAATGGTCTTTACAAATTCAGGTAATCATTCCTTTATTGGTCATATACGCAAGTTCAAATTGCCAGTAACATAAATTTAACGACGAGCGACTACCGACTGACTCGTCCACAGCCTTCAGGTGAAATGAAAGGGACAACCCCTTCACCTAAATTTTTCCCCATCAAAGTAATATTCAATAGAAAAATGCTGCATCGGAAGATTCAATAGAAAAATGCTGCATCGAGTAAGCAAAAAGAAAAGCTGGGTACATCTGCGAAGGTGAAAGTAGGGGTTTTCCAGATGGTTTCTCGACATGCCCTCGATATTTCATCGATCTGCATCATAGTTTCATTGATGCCCGGTGTAAAGAAATGATTGCGGCGAAAACCACACGATACATTTGNAGTAAGCAAAAAGAAAACCTGAGTACATTTGTGAAGGTGAAGGTAGAGGTTTCTCAGATAGTTTCTCGACATGCCCTCGATATTTCATCGATCTGTATGTATCATAGTTTCATTGATGCCCGGTGTAAAGAAATGATTGCGGCGAAAACCACACGATCCATTTGGCAATTTGCGAATCAGATAGAAATCGAAAACCCTTGCGTCGTGATTCGGGGCACCAGTGTTCCGAATACTCATTTCCAGTCACTTAAAATCGCTGCTTTCGAGATTTCACTGTGCAAAATATGCCTATATAGATGAGAAGCTAGTGGGCTGTCCTGGAACTTTCCAGGTGCGTAGGAGACTGCTTTCCTTTTAGAAAGATCGCGACATGACAGTGCTTAGTTTAATGACTGAATTCATTATGTAAGAACGAAATAGTTGTTGAGAACTACTAGACCAAAGTTCCTCTGGAGCTCTAGCGTATCACTGAAATCGACCCGGCTTGTAGCGATGGGTCTAGTCATCGGGTGCTAGAGGGAGATCTTCGCATATGGTCATGCTTGCTTCGAATCGTCATAACATACAGTGCCCATTGAGATATCCCTTTGCGATAACCCACTTCCTTCAGTTTGAGCTCTGTCCAAATGCTCGCTTCGGATCATTGGTAGTAGAATTCGAATAAACTCGTAACCCGTGAAGCACATCACATCATAAAAAGTGAGTTGACGCCCCGGAGAGATTGACCTTTACAGCTCGTATCGCCATCTCATCTCGTGAAGGGTTAAACCACTGCTCCTCCGTCCGCTAAGTAGTGATACCAGGGTCAAGTGCAGTTTTGAATTTGCCCGTTTTCCTTTTCAGACTGGTTTCTGATCCCCACCCCTCATCCGCGTAATTGTCATTTATCCCCTTCAAATCACAGTCACTCGACCCAACATGGGCACGCTCTTTGTCTCGAGTCACTTTCCCGAATGCCATTAAATTTTACAATGGCACGGTCTCGAGCGGAGAAATACGAGGTCAGAAAAAGCAAACAGAAACACGGGGTATTTTCAAAGTAAATTATTTCTATTTCTCATTCGCCAAAATTTGATTTCGGTAATTTAGAAGGACACTCTTATTCTCTAAGTTTTGCATTGATGAAGCGAAATTAATGAAATCGGGTTTCAGCCATTAGAACGGGTTCAGGGTGAGTTGGGGAAAGGATAGACAGTTATTCTCGCGACTAAAGCATACTGTATACAAAGTGCGCTCCCCAAAGAACTCTGGCCACGATTCATTTCGAAGAGCTTCAGAACGTGTAATCGTGGCTTTGGATCGCCATTTGATAGGTACCTTTGACTGAAAACATACAAAAAATAGAATGCCATGAGGAGAAGCATATATCTGAACTCTTAGCATTTAACTGTATGACGGTAATACATATTTTGGCTGAAGCTTCCTAATACAGTACTGTTAGCATGCCCAAGTTTCGTTTTTCTCTTTCTCGCAGAACTTTAGCATCGGAAAACGATCAAGAACAATCCTTTTATGAGACTTAACCATCCTGACACATTCCTCCTCCCTCTGGAAGAGGCCTCTGGCTGAGAGCGCTCGTTGGCTTCATTGAACCGCACTACATAGTTGTTTCGCTTCTGCAAGTAGTTTAAGCTGGCTGAACGGATGCAATCCGCTGTT